TACTGGTCTGCAGGTGGGGGCATGGGAGGGGAGGGGCCGGGGGCTAAAAATATCCTAGTGCCTGGGGGGATTGGTAAAGTGCACCTCCAGGCTTTCCCAGCCCCAGGGTTGTGATCTGAATGTATACAGAAGTTCAGTTAGATTGGTCTACCAAGACCTCAACTAATTTGGTTAAATTAGATCAGGTCTCTCATTTTTTGGCAGATTTAACCTTCCTGGAACTTCTGTACAGTTTGCACGTAGATCGCTCTAACCAGGAATCTAAGGACACTTTTACACATGCTCCAGGGGGGCAGCTCTTTAATTAGAGTGGCTCTGAGAGCTTTAATTCAAGCACCCCCACCACCATTTTTAAATGCAGGGTCACTGATGCGTGAGACACAGGAGGCTGCTGGAGGATGGCAACTGAGATTAATTGAGTCTGCTCCTATGCGCTAGAATTTCAGCGTTTCAGAGCAGCCGCTGCACTTGTGTATGGATGTTCTAGTATTAGGTTTGCACGTGGGTGAGATAAGTTAGATTGAGGGGGGGGTCATTTTGAATCTGGTCTAACCTCCCCAAACATCCCCAAACATCTGTATGTACCCTTTGTTTCTGTGTTTTAATATTTCATGAGGAAATCTGTTTGGAACTGCCAGTTCTCTTCTAGGCTCTAAACTCAGTACTCAGAGACTTGGAGGAGGGCTCGACTTTGTCTTGTCTGGAGCGAGAGAGAAATGGTCCTCACACCAGAGATGCCAAGTAGATGGGGGCCTGAGGACTCTGGCCTCCCTAGGGAAGATGATTGTCACCTGAAATGCATAAAACTTTCCATATGTCCATCATCTTAGGACCCCACACCTCCACCCCACCTGGCAAAAATAAAAGTTGGTGCCTGTGCCTCACACCATTGTTAACGCATACTTTAGGGCACAGGGAACAGCTTACCCCCTGTCACAAACAACAGGGCTGGATCTCTCCATGTTACTAAAGAAGTCATCTCAAGGCAGGGTGACCTAGTGTGCCCATGCTTGCATAACTCTCAAGGCAGTAAGATCTGAGGAGTCGGGGAGATATGCCTGAAACCAGGGCTGTGCATACTTATGTTGTTCTCAACAGGAAGAAGAGCCTGAAAGTATGTTCCAATTTGCAATATTTCCTCCTGCTTTGGGAAATCCTGCTGTTTACCATGAAAAATACAACAATCAGCATCCCATTCACTTTGTTGGCTACCATTGGGCTTGCTATTTTACCAGTAGTGAACTTGTCAGACTCATAGAAAAGAAATGTATTCATGTCAGGTTCTTTCTTTCTCTATTGAAGACAACAGTGATGTGTGTGTTTTTCATTATTCTACCTTCATATAATTTGTATTTGTACATTTTTTTTCTCCTTCATTCATTTTTATCTTGTAAGGTATGATGAAGAGAAGTGTTATAAGAGAAGAATGAGGTAAAACTCTTGCTCTGCAGTTCATGCTACTGTCCATGAGTGAACTTGTGTGAACCAGCCTTTCACCCTTAGGTGACCTCAACAGCTGAATGAGAGAGTTCTTATGATTCTTTGCTTTTGTGGAATTAGGTGTCCTACTTTCTCTTCAAGCTGTTGAGATCAGCCTCCTTTGCAACTCAAACCTACTAAACTGGAAACGTCCTTGACTTGGCCCAGGCTGCAGCTAATTTAATTCTCTGATAGAGCAATTGAATGTTTTCAGCTTCATACAGCGAGCATGCCTCAGACCCTTGCTACTTTTATGTTTCTGCCTCCAGATAAACTTTTATAAGGAATTTCAAAGTAAAAGT